CTGAAGAAGCTGCTGAGCTCTTGCGGGGCCTCATGGTGCCTTCATCTGCCCATTCAGTGGCAGTAGTTGCAGATAGCATATTTCTGGGCGGGTGGGTCCTTCCAAGCCTCATCGCTGCCTTGAAATTTTCACCCATTCACGTACTGGACCCGATCGGGAACAGCACCCCTAGAGATACACCAAGCCCATCCAAAACGCTGGGGCACCCGATCGGGTACCCCATCAGGTAAGGCTCACCAACCCCCACCGATTCTTCCCCTTGCACCAACAACATGCGTAGCAGTTCACGAATCATATACCTTCCCAGCCCCGAGCCCTTACTCCAATCCCATGGTGCCCACTGCATACACGCCCCCCCCCCCCCCCCCGGCCCGCACTGCGTGTCACGGATCAGCATTGCGCGACAGCGAGGCGGGCGTAAGGGGGACGACGTATATGTTAGAACAAAATAGCAAACAAATTCGTTAATTCAATGTGAATGTCCGAGCTAATTGATGAAAAAAATTAATCTAAGGTTTGATCGTTCGGTCTTATTAGCCTTGAGCGCAAATTTGAGAATTTTGCCTCCCGCCCGTGGGCGGCAGCCACCGTGCCGTTGCCCGGCCCCGTTTTCGTCCGGGCCAATCGGCGTTAGTTAGTTTTTAGCCAGTTGACATGAATTTGTTAGCGCTCGTTGGTTTGTATTATGTTAAGAAGTTTTGTCGCCCTTATGTTATTCATGATTAAATCTGACCAATATTGGGGGGAGAACTAGAGCTCTTTTTGATGAGACCGAGAAATTTTTCCATACTCTGAGATTTAGAACGCGTTAAAGGTCTTATAGAACCTGCTGAAGAGCAACGAAAGCAAATGGCCATGCCCTATCTTTGGTTTGGAGCATACACACCAGTGAGCTGCGAGCACCTCTAACTCTTACGGCTTAAGAACAGATTTCGGCGTAGCATTACAGCCGTTTGCAGTTTTTTTGCCTCTCAAATCAATGCCTTGGCGTCGTTGCGCAGTTTCTCCGCGCTGCCCGCCGCCCAGCCGTCGAGAAGCCGTTCCAAGTGATCTCGCAAAGCATCGCCAAGACCCGGTTGCCATGCCAGAGCAGTGCAAAGGCAGCCTGAGCCTACCCCCTAAACCATAAACCCTAAACTGTTTTTTCCCTATTGCAAAACCTAAATCCCAAATCCGGAACCTGCATTCCCAAACCCGCCCCGAGCTACAGCAAAGGCGAACAGGGACTCAGGCTTCGGTTTTGTTGAATACTCAAAATCGACAGCCCTGGACATCCCTTGACCCCGAAACCTCAAACCCTGATGAACTCTTACTAGAGGGCTACAGGGGTAGGAAGCATGAGTAATACTATACCCTCCTCAAACCCTGATGTTCGAGCCTGAAGTGGAACCTATGTTAAATTAAACTATAAAGACACAGATCGAGGCAAGAATCGATGAAAGGCCTTGGCATCGGGACCATTGCTTGTCTGTGTCACATTCCATGTGGCATAGCGGTACCTGAACCTGACGTACCTGCGACATTTTCCGGTTTAAAAGGTTTAGGATTTATGGTTTTGAATTCGGCGTTCAAGACTTGTCTTAGCAAAACACAGAAAAGATTACACCCAATTAAAGCCATCACTAGTGGAGCGTGTGTCCAGAACCCTCTTATCAAATCCGCTCACACTATACGTATTATATACTCTTAAGCGTATATTGTAAATTGCAAAAGCCCGTTCCAGGGACTCGCTTTTTGTTGAACTCGCCCACCTTGCTCCTAGCCACATGTCGAGGGAGCCACGGGTCATGGCATCAGACATGGCCATCAGAGCCTCAACCATGAATGCCTGAGCATTTACAAGCAAACGAGGACCAGCTGAATTTAGGTTTGGGGCATGGGGTACTGTATAAATTACCCTAAGGCCCCAAAGTAGTTCCTTTTTGGAGTTCATATTTAGAGTACTATAATGTAATGTCAAAGAAAAAGAACTACTTTGGGGCCTATGGGTAAGCTTCAGGGAAGAAAGAGCTCCCGAGTTTCTAGGCCAAGTCCAAGGCACATCATCCCCCGAAACCCCCCTGTCCTCAAGCTGAAGAAGCATCATGCAGTCAGAGCCCAAAAAGCTCAAAAACACCTGTAAACACTGCACCTGCAACTTCCGAAGCCTAAACCCTACACCTAAAAGCCAAAAACCTCAGCGTCCGGCAGCGCTAGACCCCCTAAGGCGAATGCTAAAGCCCTAAGCCCTGAAACCACAACTACACGAAAGCTGCAGTCAAAGATCTCGAAACCCTTATGTTGGACCTTCTCTGCGGCCCGTGGCACTGACTTAAGCTCACCCTGCATTGCCAACATGCAGCCCTCGCCGTCGTACTCCTTGCTCCGTGCTTGGCTTGGCGGCTGTGGGCTCAGATTTCACGGTTTCAACTTGAGAGATGAAATTTTCGGGTTTCGGGTGCGGGCGAAATTCCAACAAACCTGCACAGCCTGCACTCCACACCCAAGAAAATCTGTATAAGGGACCTGGCGACAAAACTCTAAACACAGAGTCTGAAACCCTAAACACCAAAACCTGAAATCGAATCCCAAATCACCCAGACCCGGAACGGATCCTGCAAGATTGCGACGGTAACGCCGTCGAATCTGGCGACCCCCACCTAACTCGTCTGTCTTTGTGGGGTTTCAGTCTTGGTTTTCCGGCGATGGCGCTAGAATGTAAGAATGCCAGGTATAGGGTTTTGCAGGGTTGGGGTCCCTTTTTGTTTTTTGGTGCAGTCAGGATCTTTAAGGCTCTAATATAGGAACCTGATTAAGAAACCTTGGGCCTTTATTAGGGTTCCTTTAAGGGGTCTATCAGGGTTACTGTAAGGGATCTATAAGGGTACTATGATAATGTAGAAACCTGATTAAGAAAGCTTGCGCCTTTTTATGAGGGCTCCTTCTATGAATCCTACGATTTTGGGGCTATACTACGGTAGGACGAAAGTTTGACCTATTCCTTGTTTCGTCCAAGACAGGCCCCCATTCCCCTGTAGACTCCTAGCGCACAGGACCCACCGGCTACTCCTCCGGAACATTAAAGTAGCATAATTTTAAAACGGGGTAGAAAATACTCCGCTGGCCAGGCCACGTAAATCGCACTTGTCGCTACTCCGCTACTCCGCAAGATGCTTTAAGACAAGAAAGGCCCAGTAGGTCAAAACTTTCGTCCTCCCGATGTAGGCCCAGGATTTCCGAATCAGGTTCCGACATTATGCTTGGAGTCTGGCGGTCATGGCCTTAGCTCTACTCAAAGGCAGCTTGGGGCTTACTGCATTCGTGTGCTATCACCCTAAGGGTCCATGTACCCAACTAGTATATATTTTGGCCTTAAAGTAGTCCTATCTAGGTACTTTGGGGCCTAAGTATCTTCTACTTGGGTACATGGACTCTTGGGGTAACACTGCTGTAAGGCGAGCTCTTGGACGGAAGCACGTATAACCGTATAATCCGACTTGTAAGCTGTTAAGCGTCCACCTTTTTTCCAACGATGCGGGTTCGCAAGGTAGGGGCCTTAATAATTGGAACAGCATTTTGGGGTATATCGTAATATGAATACTTATAATAAGGAACACCCCAAAATAGTACATTGAGGCCCCGACAGTACTTACTATCCCCGGATCCAAGTACCTCCACAACAACCTCAGAGCCTTAAAACACAAACATCCTAAAACCCAACGACCCAACACTGAACCTTGGCAAAAAAGGCCCAAAGCCCAATCCAGAGCTCCAAAGCCCAAACCCTGAACCGCAGATCCGAAACCAAAATCTGGGTTTTGTCAAAAAATTTAAGTTGCCGTAGTGAAGAAACCGTATGATTTACCATAGATCCCTATTATGGTCACTTAAATTATATCCTTAACAAGCACCCAGAAATCCGACACCCCGGCCCAAAACCGTACGCCCCAGCACAGGACCCCAGTCTGGAAGCCTGGTAGAACTCTGTGGAAATCTTGAAGTAAAACCAAGCCCTCTAGTTTCCTTTGCAACTTCTTGGCCAAGGTTCAAAGTTAGATCACTTCTACTCCCCTAAACCCTAAAACCACCCTGAACCCGCCAGTTTCCTTTGGAACTACTTGGCTTAGGATTTAAAGTTAAACCGCTTCTACTCCTACACCCTCCTGAACCCTGAACCCTGGTGAACCCTAAACCCTGAAGCCTAAACCCTGAAACCCCCTCAGCTCTAAACCACCCTACTATAGAGGACTTAATAATTAGAATAGGGTTTTGGGGCCCATGATAGTATAGTTATTTGAAGGAACCCCCAGAATAGTGCAGTATTGGCAATTATTTCGGCCCCTTATTAAACCCACAAGTTTCCTAGGAACTTCCAGGCCACCACTCGATGCCAAGCCGAAGCTTTGGCGGCGTCAACAGATACCTGCACCGCAAAGCCTGGATTTAGGGTTTTCGGGATTCTTACTACTGGAAGGTGACTTTTACGGTTTTCGGGTTTAGTCTTTAGAGACCTTTTGGGTTCCCTTCCCTCTGTTACGGTCCCTGCGAAGGGGTTGCTGAGGCTGCAAAGGCTTAATACTGGGGCCTACGCGCCTTAATTGTTGGAATGGGGGTCTTGAGTCTTGATGCTTTGCAGAACTTTTCGGTACGTTCCAATAGCGGATACTAGGGGCCTGAAGTATCAGAATTTGGGTTTGGAGAGTTCTGAAGGGACTGTAAGGGACCCTAAACTTTAAACCCTACACCCTAAACCGCTAAACCCTGTACCCTCGACCTTAAATGCTCTTACTATGTTATTCAGACCCTCTCCTTGTGCTTGCTGAGCTTCCTAGCGCTTCAAGCCTCTGGGGTCCCTAAAGCTCCGAGGGTTCACAGAGGCTTATGCATGAAATAATCGTCGGCAGTCTGCTACACCACAAGGGACACGTACTGCTTGTTGAGCCTCCCCTAAACCCTAAACCACTGACCCTACCGGGAAGTCTTTCCGCCTTCCTCTAAGGGCTCCTATAAGGGGCTGCCAAAAGGAGCCGTAAACCTTCCGAGCAAAGCTGAAATTGCTGGTTGCTTTCCTCTGAAACGTAAAGCCTAAACCTCAGCGAAGGGAAGTGCGAAGCGAGTCGCAAGACACGAGCACTTTGGAAGCCACCATTTTCGCACTCGCATCCTCGAGTCGCGCGGTGCTGAACGATGGCCCCATATATACGCTTAAAAAGAGGCCTACGTAACTTCGAAAACTCCTTATACACAAACGCAGGCCCCAGGATCGACCCTTCTGTAAAAAAATATGCGGGCCCTCAACCCCAGAGATCCCAATACCCCTTAATTAAGGAATATACACCTTAAGCCATAGGGGGCCTAATATTATATGTTTTAACTCATATTCCTTAATTCAGGGGTATCGGGATCTCAAGGAGCCTAAACACGAAGATTTATGGGGGATGCGGTTTCGGGATTACCTCCCGTCCCAAGGGGCTGAGTCAACTCTGGTTCAGACTCTATACCACGAAGTACCCAAGGTTCAGAGATAGATATGCAAAGTATGCACCCTAAGCCCCACTGGGGCTGTGTCCTAAGCCCTAGTATGTATACCGTACTGTATACTCTATCGTGTATCTTGCACCTGCCTGCCCTAAACCCTAGACCCGAATCCTCGTAGACGATGGATCCGGAAGGATCTGGAGGAATCATGGCCTTCTCCCAACGGCGAATGCGACCCCAGCCCTTCTCAGAAGCTTCGTTCCACTCGGTCACGAACCTTCAGGAGGAGGGGTTTAGCCCGGCTACCCAAGATTCAGGGTAGGGTATCGGGTATAGGAAGAGGGGCTGGGGCGAAGTGGGGGGGAGTGTAGGCCTCAGGGTTTAGGGTTTATGGTTTCGGGTTTGGGGTATACCGAGCAGGGTGTAGGACGGTTATGCTGATGTGCAGATTGCGACTACATTACGGCCCCTGCAATAGTCAAGGAGCCCCTCTGGCTGTTCATGGACTCGCATCAGCTCTTCGTTCTGCTTCAACGCAGAGAACGGCGATGTATCACCGCTAAGTTCCTAAGTAGGCCCTTAACGATAAGGGTACCCTTGTTCCAACTAATTATTTGGTTTTCACAGCGGAACCAAAAAAGAAAAAGGGCAAAAGGGTACTACTTAGGAACCTAGACCGGGATCTTCCAGCCAAAGCGTGCCGCTACGATCGGCTGTGGGCTGCGCCGTGTTCTCTCCTCCCCAGCCTGACAACATCACTGGATCCTCCGCCTCCTCTGACGGAGGGGCCTTCTTCAGATTTGTGTCCTTGGCAGTTCCTACCTGGACCCTAAGGAATCTAACTTTTTAGGGTTCCCTAATATGATTTCTTTTCATAAGTCCTGAAAAAGGTAGGTTACTTGGGGTGAAGGTACACCCTAAACCCCTAAACAGTGATAGACCAAAAAACCCTGAACCCACCAACCCCCAAACCCCTAAACCGATTTGTGACCTTGGCAGCTGCCGGGCGTTTGGCTGCTTGCTTCGCAGCTGCTGGGCGCTTGGCAACGAGCTTGGCTGCGGCGGGCCTTTTCATGGCAGGCTTCCTCTTGGATAATACCTCGGCAGCTGTCGTAGCTGCGCCCGGTAAGACTCCTCGAAACTTCAAGAACAGTGTGACACGCATGAGGGGTTACAAGAGCCACGACGGCTGCTCCACTGGCACTCAAGACTTGAAACTTCGGTCGGTAATGGACTGTTGGAATTCGGAGCTTTGATTCGATGCCTTAAAGCTTGACCGGGCCCATGCCTAACTCCAAATGTGGTTTCAGGCGGTGCAGTGGATGGAGGGCATCACTGCTGACAGAGCTTGGTGGCTCAGACGGGAGTTTCGGGTTTAGATTAGGGAAAGGCCTGTTTGGCATACTTCCGGAGGAGCTGCGACTCAACCTCAAGCTGTCAATGAACCGATTGCTGAACATCATAACGGTGATATTGCTGGGAATGTTATCCCCAACCCCAAATCCCCAGTCTCCAACCTCACCAAAGGTTCCATCGAGTACCTCCTAAAAGTATCAAAAGTAAAGCCTGATTTCCAGAACTAAAGGAACTGAAAAAGCCTCTAGAATCTTCCACCAGCAGACCGTGAAGACCGACACCTCTTCAGGGTTTAGGGTTTAGACCCATGATAATACCAAAGGCATGGGGCTTCAGCTTGCATGCTTCGGAAACTCGGAACCCCAAGGCGACTTCAGGCTCGCAGCTGTGTCTTAGGGTTTTTTAGGGTTTAGGGTTTAGGGTTTAGGGGTCTAGGGTTTAGGGCGCGCTCTTGAGGAGTCGGGATTAAAACCCTATACCCTGCGCTCTCGAAGGCTTTCGCTCTGACAGCGGTCTCGCTGGAGATTCTGCCAAGGCCGGAGCGAAGGAAGCCTTGGGGCATGCAGTTCAGCGTGCAAGTGTGTGTTGGGGGGGGGGCTTGTGTTCAAAAGATTTAGGGTACGGGTTTAGGGGGTTTGATGCTTGGAGTTTCGGATTTTGAGTTACGCCTAGAAGTGTGCAGGGGGTTTAGGAATTTTCAGTTTGAAGGACCAGAGGGTCAGATTCTCGGATGTCAAAGGTTATGGCTTTGGGGTTGAAGCATTTGGTTTAGGGCTCCGGGTTTATATGAGGCTTGAGTGTTCTAGGCGGTGGAGGGCTTCCAGGTAGATTTATAGCCCATCACCTACAAAAAGGCGATCATTCTCTACATAGGTTTGGGATCGAGGTAAGCACTAAACCCTGAATCCTAAAAACCCTAAATCCTAAACCCTAACTTAACCAACCAACGCAAACAATTCCGACTTCTCAGATGCCATCGACTGCGGACTTCCTGCATTGAGCAGATTTTCTATTTAACCATTTAGGATTTAGGGTGGTTTGGGTTTAGGATTTAGGGTTTATGCGGTTCAGGGCTTAGTTTGTACAGACCCCTTAACCCGGAAGCTTGCATCCCAAACCCCAAGCCCAAACCCTGAATTGAGCCAAATTTCCGTGGAAACCAACCCTGGCCGCTCGCGCTCGCTTTTCTGCAGCTGTCTTCAGCTAGCGGCTGACAACCATCTTGGATCTCAAAGGACCCTGCGCGGCGGCGCTAACGCACAGATGCTGCAAGCAAAGCTATCACAGGGCCCCCAGAAAACACCTCAGCACATCTATTGAAACCGACCGCTTGTAGGGAGATTGCCTTCAACTGCATACGTTGAGATGCCTGTTCTGGGGCGGGGCTCATATCAACCTAAGGCCTTGAGTTCGGCTCTCAAGCGAACCGTCTTAACGTTTTCCTGGTACACGTATTCGGAAATTTCCCGGACAGTGCGATAGTCCTCAAAAAGAGCCACCGACAGACGACAGTCAAAGTGCTTCATCAGTTTCCGATGAAGCTTTTCTTGCTCCTCAAAGCTCAAGTGTGTGAAACTACAGTCCAGACTCACGTTGCCACCATGTGCATGTCGTAGTGGTTCTAGTAGAATCTCTTGGCAAGCGCTGAACGCCTCCTCGAAGGTAAGGCCTTGCTCTTCGGCAACAGCTGTGAGTTCAAGATCGCTCCCGCTGCGTAGAAGTTTCTGGAAATCCCAGTTGTTTTGTAGCATCGTTTGATCGCTCAGGAAGCTGATGACACTGTGCATCCACTCAGGCTTGGCCTCACGGACTTGTCGAGAAAGGTCGTGCAGCGGAAGGTGTCCTCTGAGAGTCACCTGAAGAACGATCTGTCCTGTCAAGTCCCGAACCTAGGCCACACTTGGGACAGTATTAAAAATGCAAGTTTGCTTTCCTTCTTGGGTTTAAGTACCCATAAAAACGATTCCTTCTTGGGCTTAAGTACCTATAAAATCGTAAAATTTTAGCCAACTATGACAAGGAACCAGCAGCTGCATTTCCGCGCCCGGCTTCTCTGGCAGCCCAACATATCACTTTTGAGGGCCCTGCTCGAGCCGACATGGCCCCAGAACTCAGAATATTAACGAGTGAGTAGTCTCTAAATTCGGATCCCTTTTCAAGTCCCAAGCACATAGTATGGCACCCTTGTAAAAGGACCCCCAAAGAAACCCTAATTTGGACAACTACCTAGAAAAAGAGGAGGAATGTTCTAGTTGCTCTAAGCCTGGAGTTTGACCCTGTGCAACAATAACCCCTAAACAGCTAACCCATCTAAACCCTAAACCCTCATCCCTAAACCCCTAAGCCCTAAACCCCAAGAGACTAACCCTTAACTCCACAAGCCCGGTCTATCAGAAATCTGTCAACATCCCCTTCTTTGCACACGCCCCCCAACAACAGATGAGGAACTTCAAGTAACATGCCTCCCCAAGCGACGCTGCGACGACTTGACTGGCAATGCTCAACCGTGGCACGCCGAGCCTCAAAACATCAAGAAAACCGTGCTTGAGATACAGCCTCTAGAATTAAAATTGTAGTATGTGACTTATGAAAGATAACTGCTGAACCTCCCCTCTGACATTGACTTAGGAGGCATTGTGTACCAACCTTTGCGCAAGAAACGATCATCACTCTTTGTGCGACGTACGATGTCGTCCATCCAAGCAGACTATGACGGTATATGAGCCCACAAAGCTTAGCAGCTGCAGGCTATGCAGGTGGAAGCCTCGGATATGTCAGTCTGCTCGACTGTCTGTGCTGCCTGAGAGGCTTGAAGTACACATGCTGTCATAGTGGCCCCTAGCAAGTCTAAGGCTTCTAGTATTCTAGTTTGCATGCTTTCGAAGGGCATGATGGTTGAAACCAGTGACTAAACCATAGAAGTACGGATAAATTTATCACTCCCAGAGCAATCATGCTATACTCGAGAAGAGAAAGTCAGACACACGCAGCCGGGACCAAGCACTCGCAGCGCGACCACAGGTTGGATTTTTCGTTCGCAACATGTGTCTGCCTTTCGTGGGTCATACTGACCCGCCAATCTATATACGGGCTACCTTCCAGGCCGAGCGCTCTCATATGGTAGCTGTCTCAACCGGAATGGGTGGGACTGCCGTCACTCCTCGACCCAGATTCTGCCATATGTCACAAGCGCTACATTGAAACACTCGTGCTCCCGCTTCACGAGAAAGCTGCGGTCATGATCTGCGGGCATTTGTGCTATCTCCAAAGGCCGCTCCTTGTTCCTGACTTTGACAGTCAACCGCCTCTCTGCGGTTTTGAAGCGCTTGACTTCCCCGGGCGCCATATCACCTTCCCATGTCGATTCCCCATCATCGAGCTTGTAATGCACTGCCACTCCGGAAGCATTCGCAATGTGAGTGTGCGGTGCCATGACGATCGGCGTGGGGCAGGGCCAATGGGTCTACTACTGGTATCACTTGAGCACACACAATAGCCGCGGTGCAGCCATGAAACGGCATCCCAAACGCTACTGTTCTGAGGGTTATACCGTACAACTAAGGGGTCATAACCTGCCATTTTGCAGGGTTTAGGGTTCAGAGTTTAAACCCTAAACCTTAAACCGTTAAGCCCAAAGCCCGTCTTTACAAAGAGCGGAAGCGTCTCTGGGGTCAAACGCTGTCTCGCTAGAAATACACACGGTCTAGGGTTCAGGGTTTACGGTGTAGGGTTTACAAATATGCTTATATGTACTGTATGTATCCGTATCTGCATCTAGCTAAATCTGTGTCTCCATCGTTACCTATGCCTATCATATCTATATCTATCTCTACCTTTATCTGTGCCTATGCCTATACCTATGTACCTATACATATACACATATATATATATATAGAGAGAGAGAGAGAGACGCTTTCTGTATATATATATATATGTGTAAACATATTCATCAGTACATCTCTAGATGAAATCCGAACTCATAAGGCCGAAGCCCCAAACCCAAAAAGCCGTTAGCCGTGAACCCCAGTACCTGAACCCCGCGCTTCTCATCGAGGTGCGCAAATCGCAGCACCTGGAGGTCTGCAAGGGTGATCCGAGTCTTGGTGCTGCCTGTGGGATTTCATGTAAGTCTTAGGAGGGTTCTTAGTTGAGGGGGGTCCTGCTCAGCTACCTCTTCCTCGCTAGCCTTGGCTACCCTTTCACGTGGGCTAAGACGAGGGGAGGTTTTCGAGTGGAGTGGCTAGGCATGGAGACGGAGAACTCCACAAACTATTAGTCACTACCAGGCCCTGTTGGTCCCTATGGGGCCCTGTTGCGGCGGCCACTTTGCCACGGTGTAAAACTCACCCTTAAAGGCTTTGGGTTTCTGGAGGTCTACACTATATAACCCAAATCCCAACCCCAAAACATCGAGATCCCAGCACAGCCTAAACCTAGACCCTGAAATCCACACCCTATAAAAACCTTAAGATCAAACCCTTAACCCGAAACCACAAAAAACCCTAAACCCTAAGCACGCCTCTTCGGTCCGCCCCATACTTTGACAACTGCTCCGATAGGCAGCCAGCAGGTGCTTCCGGGTCTGGGCTTTGAAGTAGCCAGGGAGCAAAAAGTTTAGACTTCGTGGTTTAAGTTTAGGGGGTTTAGGGTTTAGACTTCAGGGATAGCTTTGCTTTTGGTTTAGGGTCATAGTGGTAACTTGTTCCAAAAAAAGACATATAAAAATCTCGTACTCCAAATCCAGGGAATGCATCCGCGCCGCCAGGTTTCGGTCCTTTCTGCCTTGGGGCTCAGGGCGTGGGAGGGCAGGGTTCTCTTCAAGGAAGGGTGTCTAAAACAAGACAAAGGGGCCAATATAAGGGCTTCTGGTGAGTGAGTTCAGTCATGGCAGTTGCAAGCAGAATCGTTTATATGAGTTACTGTAGTATAACAAGGGTTTCCAACAACAGTCAAAGGTCCAGGTTTGGGCCCGTGGATTGAAGGGTCTTGATGTCCAGCACTGATCACACTCTTCACAGGAGTTTCCATGGCTTCGCTCTTGATTCCAAAGATCTCCGGATGCCTTTTGGGGTGTTCTTGTGCATGTCCTGGAGAAGGCGTCTACCGACCACCCAGTTCGCAGTAGCTGATAGCGCTTCTGTAGAGTATCAAGTTGGGAGTAAGTTTAGCACCCAACATGTCGTAGAAGAGTTGAAAGGACAGCTGCCATTGGCTTCCTTCCTCGCAAGAGTTGATCGCTGCACCGTAGCTGATGACGTTTGGCGTGAGCTTCGCTTTTGGCATGGACCTGAACAAACCCAATGCCTGTTGCCACTGCTGGCCTTTCTCGCAAGAGCTGATGGTAGCATTGTAGCTAATTTCAGTCGGAGTCAGCATGGCTTTTGGTATCTCGTTGAAGAGGTGCAATGCCATCTGCCACTGCTCGCCTTTTTCGCAAGCACTTATGCTGGCACTGTAGCTGACGATATTCGGCAGCAATTTCGCTGCAGGCATCTGCCTCAGCATGCGCACTGCCACCTCCCACTGTGCACCCTTCTCACAGGAACTGATGGCGGCACTGTAGCTGATAACATCGGGGTTGAGGCGTGCCTTCTGAATAGCTGCGAAGATATGTAAAGCCGACAGCCACTGGCCACCTCTCTGGTTTGGAGTTTAGGGCTCGCTGAAGTCTTAGGGGGGAAGGATTTGATTCGGTTTATTATATACCTATTTTGTAGCCCATTATGGGGTCCCCATTAAGGGTCCCTCCTTTTCCCCTTTGAAAGCAAATGCTTCCCGGCCTTTCTCACAAGAGCTGATGGCTGCGCTGTGGCTGATGATGTCGGGACTGAGACTGCAAGATTGCATAGCGTCGAACAGCTGCAACGCCGCTTGCCACTGCCCGGCCTTCTAGGCGGGAACCCTAGTACCACGGTCTAGGGTTTAGGGCCCCGGGTATACTAAACGGTGAACAGGCTACAGGTGTTCAAGTCGAGCTGCACATATAATCTTACTTCCAACTCACTTGTGACCTAATTGCTCTAAGTCGCTTGAGCCTCCAAGCCACAACCGTAAAATCCTATCAGCTCTATATCCCTACTGCTCGAAGCCAAAGACCTTCGTACCAAATACCATGGTTTCAAGAGTTCAAAGTAATGAACCTCCCAGATTATCTATAGTCACGGAAACAGCAAACGAACTTCACAAAGTTTGCAAAACCCGCCTTTTCGCAGGAGCTGAGTGCGGCATTGAAGCCTGATGTGTCCCGAAACCCTTCCTAAACCCTAAACCTCAAACCTCTAAAACCCTAAATCCCAATCCTAAACCCTGCACCCTGAACCCAAAAGCCTAGACCGCAAACTCGAAAGTAGCAGCCTAAACCCTCAACCCGAAACCGGTGTGGGCTTCAGAGTTCTCGGGGCTGTTTCCTGCATTTAGGGTTTCAGGATTTTCGAGCATTGAGGGCTTATTGCTCTACGACCTTAGGGCTTTGAGGGCTTTTAGCCTTTTGGGTTGAGTTAAGCCCGTTTAGGGTTCCAGGATCTTCGAAAATTTTGAAGGTAAACCTAAACCCTAAGCCCTAAAGACCCTGAAGGTTGCTTTGCAGTTCCCAAAACCCTCACCCAAAAACCTGTGGCCCTATACAATGAACGCTTGACGGTGAAATCTGACATCACGGAAGTAGCTGATGACATTTGGAACCAGCTGGAATTTTGGCATCTCGCCAAAGAGTTGCCTGGGCCACAGTTCGGACAGTATAAACAATGTAAGTTGATTCCTAGGCTTGAGTACCCTTGAAAATGCAAAATGTTACTCAACTATGACAAACTTGCAAGGCCAACTGCCACTGCACTCGTCTCTCCGAAGCGCAGGCACTGATGGTCGCCTCAAGGGAGGCCTAGTTCGTTTTAGGGCTTAGGGCTTAGGGGCTTAGGGTTTCAGGGGATTGTTGGCATCGATAGTCATGCATCGTTGTTGCTGATACAGGGGCCTTAATAGTTGGAACCAATCTTTCGGGTGAATATATACACAATATGTATGTGTATATATATATATATATATACATACATACATATACATGGATTTATATTATATTATATATATATATGTATATGATCCCGGTTCTCGGTTCACCGACCCGGCCCCCCCCCCCCCCAATGGTCTCCCCCCCCAACGCTCCCCAACCCGAATCTGTACTGTGCAAGCTTTTTCCACACGAGGGCTCACACGCCAAGCAGACCCACGCAGGAAACCCAAACCACACCACACCACAGGGGGGAGTGGGGTAACCAGCCTAAGCAGACCCACTCCCGAACCACACCACACCACACCACAGGGAGGGGGAAGCAACCCACAACCACACCACACCACAGGGGGAGGAGGAACCATTGGGGGGGAGGGGGGGGGGGGGCGGCCGAACCGGGATCATATATACATATGGTTTGATCCTTAAGCCTTCGGGCCGGAGGTGATACCGCTTTTGAACCGGAACTTGTCCTGGTCGCACTCCACTCCACGTATGCAATATATATGTATATATATACACACATATGTACACACATATTAGAGCGCGGTTAGAGTCAGGAGCCCTCAGAGATAGTATCAAGAGTTAGTCAGGCTCCCAGATTGCCCTGAACCCTGCTTTGCTCTATCAAGGAAATCTGGTGATCCTTTTTCAGGCTGCTGATGGCAGCGTGTAGAAGGGCTTATATGGAACCCTGTAAGTCAAGCAACACTTTCAAGCGGAACATGTGGACACACCTTAAAGCTTACGTGAGGGGTGGCTTACTTTGGTGTGAGTATCCCTCTAGTGAAAGTTCAGTCTCTTGATTGCGACGGGCCACGCTGTAGCTGATGATATCGGGAGCCAGCTTAGCTCCCAACATCTCTCCGAAGAGCTGTAAAGCAAGCTGCCACCTTGGCAGGATCACCAGAAACCGATGCTACGATTCACGACCTAAAGCCCTACTTTCCGTAACATGAAACCTATCCTAATCTAGGCCAGCATCACCTGAGCCCTTAATCCCAAATTAAACCCTAAACTCCCTATTCCCTAAACCCCGAACCTTCCAAAGGAACCATGAAAGGAGGATTTGAAAAGGCATCTGGAGTGGAGGGTTTCGGTATCTTAGATTCTGGCCTTTTTGTGCGTCTGAGGTTTGCTAGTGAAGTTTGGGGTTGGTCCTTGGGGTCTCGCTTGGGGTTCCTGTAGCCCCCTAGACATAGAAACCAAACTCTTGTAGGCAAGGGGAAACACCTCAAAGCGAACCCTTAAGCTTAAGTGCTTAAGCTCCTAAGCCATAAACCCCTAAACCCTGAACCCCTAAACCCCTAAACCCTAAACACCTAAACCCGAAACACCCAAAGCAAAAAGCAACCACCTCAAGGATGCCTGGTTGCCTTGCGGTCTCGACTTCGAGGAGGGTTTTAAAGACTTTTCTTGGAAATTTCTAGGCTCCCCTAGTGGCCCTTCCATAAGGGTCCCTTTGTCCCAGTATTCAGCTTTGTTTAAGGAGCCCTAATACAAAAACTGTCAACGCTGACTAAACCCTAATCCCTGAACCCTATTAAAACCCTAAACCCTGAATCCCAAATCCGAAGCTGAGGTGGCTGCTGTCCAGATTTCTGGCAGGCGCTGATGGTGGCGCTGTAACTCGGGACGTCCGGTGCGATGAGGGCCCCCTGCATTTCCTCGAACCTTCGTTCGGGTTGAACAGAAGGAAAAGCATTTGGGGTTAATTAAGGCTTTGAATCGGTTCCAGGCAGGAAGTCCCCCCCTGCGAAAATACACATTACGAATAATACAAACACATCTCGGAAGCTATGTCTCCTGGGATCGAGAGCTTTGTCTCCTGGGATTTGCTTTGATTGTTGTTTTTTTGTTTGGTTTTCTTGTTTAGTTTTGGTTTGTTTTGATTTCTCAAATGACCTGTCTCTTCCGTCTGTGCCTGCTCTCAGGAACTCTCGCACACTCAACCCTGCTCCCCTGCAAGACATAGAAAAGCATGATGTGCTCGGAGTGGTGTACCCGGAATGTGTTTCGCAGGGGGGGGCTAGGTGCCTGAAACCCTTTGAATCATAGGGCTTGCAATGTTTCGCCAGGGGTAAATGTAATGGGAAATATCCTACTTGAAGCTCGTTTCCGTCAATAACGGATACAGGGCTCCTTGCGACTTTCCTACCCGCAAGGTTTGTAGGACACAAACTGAGCAATTCCTTCATGATGGTGCCAAGCCTATACTAGTGCGACGCATGTCCCGGTTGGTTCCCTGCACTTCAACATTCGGGCCCTGCCAAATAACAAGGTGTGGCAGTCAAAGGTGAAAAGTTCACGCTGAAGCCCCATTCCCAACCATTCTGATGGTGAGGCGAAGCAGTCAGTCATAAGCTCAGCTTAAGGCTCCTACACCGTGAACACGAAGCAAGGTAAAAATCGAAACTGCTGAACCAAACCAAGTAGCAACAGCATAGCTTGCTCCCAGTTGCGCCCCTTCTCGCAGGCACTGATTGTGACGCTGTAGCCTTTTTTATAGAGGGCTGAATAATAAGAACAGGGTTTAAGGGCTCATTACACCATAATTATAATAAGGAACTCCAAGGAATAGTGTTGGAAATTTTAAAGGCCCTTATATTGCATGGCGAGTTCGATCTATTTAGGGTGAATGGGTCGCGATTGCACAGAAAAACTCTCCCAGGGTCTTCACCTACTGGGGGCTCTGAGCAGGGCACCTAAGCCCCAAACCCTACGTGGTAAACCGTGGCATGGCAATACCGCGGGCTCAGAGCAGGGCACCATGCAGGTATCAGGCAGTTCAACAGCTTGTTACTTAAAGTTGAAGCCTAAACCTGAGACCTGAACCCTAAAAACGCAATATACCCCTGCTGCAACCCCTCAATTATAAAGCTCATCCGTCAACCCTTTACCGTTGTAGGCCCTGAAGCTGTAAACGAACTGCAAGATGAGATCTTCCACCCGTCCTCTACTGACAAAGAACCCAAGTGTATGCTGCTCTTCAAGCAAGGCTCCTTGCAAAGGATCCGGCAAAAAGCTGAAGGGCTTCGACAAATAAAACATGAGACCCCAAGCAACATCCTTACTTTTGGTCAGTAGGGAATGGAAGAATGGTAGCAGCAGTAGATATAAATACACCCCATTCTTCAATTCCCTAATAACCAAAGGTAAGCATCTTGAAGCTAGCATCCAACATCTGGGTTTAGGGTTTAGGGTCCCTAAACCCTAAACTTGCCCTAAACCCTTGAAGCTAGCATCCTAAACTCCGACCCCAAAGCCCCAGACTGTCAGTGGAACCGATCCCCGTCACCCTACTTAGAGGGGTTCGTGGTTACCCTGTAGGACGCGGGACTTGCATTTTATGTATGAGCCAGAGGCCCCATAGTAGTTCTTTTTTGGGATTACCTTATAGGGTTCTATATACGAACCCCAAAAAGGAACTACTTTAAGGCCTTTGGGGAAGCCATAGTTAGATTCCAAATATAAAGTTGCTTCTACAGCCGAGAACCTTGCGGATTATTAACCTATGCGGGAGTTTCCGAAATTAGGGGCACCTTCTTTTGGGGGTACTTACAGGAAGGATCCTACTATTTAGGTACTTTATTAGGGTCCCCTATTTTGGGAAACTCCCATATGTACCTGCAGATCGACACGCAATCTCAGTAGCGATCCATGCTTAATGCTAAGAGCAGAACTCGAACATCTACCATGCCAAGACATGGACCGAGCTGAAATCCTGTAAATCGTCATCGAAACCCACACTCAAGCCCTTTTATCCCACACACCCCTTCTAGAACTCTCTACAACTTGCAAATCATATCTAAGACCCTTGCAAACCCCTGAACCCACAACAAATCTGTGCCAACGGGCTTTGTTTTAAGATCCCTACAAACTCTCAGCCACGTTGCTGATGATGTTGGGAGCGAGCTTCGCGTCCGGCATGGAGCGAAACAGGTCGAGAGCGCCTTAGGAAGCTTCCGATCCCTGAAAAGGAATCCTTGAAAGGAAGCCCTTAAAAGGAAGCCCTTAAAGGAGCCCTGAAAAGGAATTCTTAAACAGGAACCCTTAAAAGGAAGCCCTTAAAGGAGCCCTGAAAAGGAAGCCCCTGAAGAGCCCTGACGTGAACCCTCAGAGTAGGTAGGGGGATTCAGGGGTTCGGGCCCAGTGACTTGCTTTAGACTTCGGGGGCTGAAGAGCGTTAGGAGGTTTCAGGTTTCTGGAGGTCCGCTGTGGGGTTGCTCCATAAGAGCATGTATATTTCTATAAGTGCACGAAGAAAGAATTTCCTGTCTGAGGCACTGTCAAGGAGCGACTTGTGGTAAATCCCGTTTTGTGGATGGCGCGGGAACTTGCAAAAGGTCCGCTGGTTTCAGGGCTTCGGGTTGGGGGTACAGGGCGGTTGACGGGTGCCTTTTTGTTTGAGTTCGCCTTAAAAGTAAGCGACATATGCTCTCATACTATGAATCCCTATATGGTATTTTAAGGAAGCCTAAAATCGAAAAAAGCATCCTTGAAGGAACCCTGTTGAGGTTCATTTTGTCTTTAAGGTTTGCTTTTACTTCGCCGCCAAAGCGCCCTCCCAGAACTTCGCACTGGCGCAGGCGCCAAGCCCAATGGAAAAGTGATGCAACTCCTTTGGGGGTTAGAGTTGAGGGTTTAGGAGTTTAGGGTTTAGGGCGCGATTCTTAAGCGCATTCTATAAGAGCTTCCAAAAGCCATAGGGGTTTAGGGTTTTTTGTAAGGTTTTGTCTTGTAGGGGTTTCAACTCGGCTTAGGATGCTTTATGTTGTTTAAGGGCTCAATCCGTTTCAGTGCTGAGCGGGTTTTCGGGCTTCGCAAAAGCTTAAGGTTTATGTCGTGCACTGACAAGTTTCGGTGGAGTTTTAGGTAGGGTTATGAGTCGTGTGACTATGGCTGTACTGCTAGCCGAGCACTTATAACTATAGCTCTGCGTGAAACATAGCTACCCAACCCTAAACCCCAAACCCTATCGCGACTGATAGTTGTTCATGAATGAAACTTGAAGTAGAAGCTCAGATTTTCCTATATGATGGCTCGCTCTCCATCGTGGCACTTAGATTAGAAACTCTTCTAATAGTTAGCAAATCTGGGATCCCACAGTATCAAACATGAGGAAAACCATGAAGTTCAGGTCCAAGGCCGAGGGCCCTAGCTGAGCCCCAAGCAGTCTGTTACGACCACTATGGTTTAGGGATTAAGGCTTTAGGGTCTCTAAGCCCAGCTCAAGATGCTAGTAGTTTTTGAGGGTTTCAAGCATCACCGCACCTGTAGAAAAACAGGGATCTGCCTACTCCAGTAGACGGTACTTAAGCCCAAAAGCTAACCTAAAACCCCCAAACCCCCAAAACCTATACATGGACCTATAAGCTTTGAACAAGCCCTGAGAAAAGCAAAATCAGGGGCACCCAAATACAAATCACAATTACCGGGATGCTCAAATTACAAGGACCCCACAACAATGGATGCCACCCTGTTGTTGCGGAACATACCATAAATCAAATCCCCCATGCTTTTCAAGCACCACAGCCACAAAGGGCCTGAATGAACAGGGTTTCGGGGTATGTCATAGTTGTCATAAATGCAATCAGGAGCCGGAAGGACTATTGGATAATTAGGCATCAGACAGTTTTAGAAACCCTTAAAGACCGTATGAAGCATTACGAAACCCACATAGCACTCCCCCCCAAAAAAAGGCCAGGATAGCCATAGACCCCAAACTTCAAAACCTACCCTAACCCTAAATCCTAAACTCAAGTAAACCCCAGAAAACCTCCAAATGCTGAGCCAGGATCGAGCTTGACACTTCCGCTGAGCCTCACAGAATGGATCAGCTGGCAAGCCGCCCTTGCCTGCTTCTTCCTTAATTTCCACAGCTTAGGGCCAAGCTTGGGGTTTGGTTCAGGGTGTGTGGTTTGGGGTTTAGGGTTTAGGGGTTCATTGTGCACAGATTCCACTGCCGTATACTGTGGGGTGGTAGGTTGTGCTCTTCTTATCTTTTAAGAATGTTTAGGGTTTAGAGCTTTCAGTTTAGGTCTCAATGCCAAAAATCTACTGACCCACTGTAAACGCTGAAACCACCCAACTGAAGGCCTTCAAGATTTCAACACCCCCCAGCAGCCTGAACCGCTGAACCCCTCAACCCCTCCTAATTAAACCCTACACCCCGAACCCGAAACCCTCAACCTCTCCTAAGTAAATCCCAGACCCTAAACCCTCAACCGCTCCGAGGGTCTTCTTCAAGCTCTGCAAGACCTGCGTCAGGGCTCTTGGCGTCGGCGTGGGCAGAAGGAGCTCCTTGTGGTTTTAGGGCGGAGGGTGTAAAGGTTTAGGGTTTAGGGTTTCATTAAGATTTAAGTTTTAGGGTTTAGGGGTTCAGGGCTTGATTAAGGTTTAGGGTTCAGGGGCTTAGGGTTTAATTATTATTAGGGTTAGGATTTAGAGTTTGAGGTTTAGGATTTAGGGTTTAGGGGTTTAGAAGTTTACGGGGTTTTAAGACTTGAGGGGTTTAGGGTTAACGTGGGATCCCAAAGCCTACTGCTTTGACGGCGCTATACCCTATAATTAAAGGGTCGTGAATTGTTTATTTGGTAGGGTTTCGGGTGGTTCAGGCCTCACCTACAGTCTCTATTGTAGTTCCGTTTTGGGGTTTAACCAACTCTGTACTATAGGATCCTAACCTGAAGTCTCAGCTGAACCTGAATACCAGTATTTTGCTGGAGCCCTCGATTCTGCCTTATGTCAGAGACAGCTGGGGCTTCACGATGAAGGGTTCCTTCACGGGTTCCAGAAGTGCCGGTAAGGGTTCTGTGACCTCCTTTAGACTATAAGTATATCAAGGAACCCTAAGAATAGCACTGGTTATCATTTAGGCACCTAAACTATAGCACCCTACTATAGATCCCTGATAGTAAGCCCTAACAAAGACGGATCCCCTATAGTAAACGCTAGTTTAGACGGATCCCCTGTAGCAAGCCCTAGTTTAGACGGATCCCTTATAGTAAACCCTAGTTTAGACGGATCCCTTATAGTAAACCCTAGTTTAGACGGATCCCTTAATAGTAAACCCTAGTTTAGACGGATCCCTTTTTGTAACAGTATGGTACGCCCTGGCGGCGTGTATTTTCGCGTGTTCATGTTTTCACCTGCGTTCGCAGATGGCAAGCTTAGCAAGCTTTTCACTTCCAACCACCTTGTTTTATATGCATACAAAATCCGACGTGTTGTGAATTGTTACTTTGAGTTTCTACGAAACCATTGACTTGACCGAATACTTGTCCGAGAGATAAAGTACAGGACAATCGCTCAAAAGAGATCCCGAAGGTGGAGGGCATAAGGGCACGGCCTTAAGGTGTGGCTGTGGGCATGGAGGCCTGGAGGCCTCTCGGGGGGGGGGGGGGGGCGCAAAAAAAAAAAAAAAATGGTGGGCTGCTCTGTGGTATTTTTTTTTCTTTGGCATTCCAGTTCCCGCACTACGCGATCATCTCAAGCTTTCCAGTGTGCCACCAATCCTATCCTATCAAATGAAACATCCCTCCATGAACAAGATTACGGGTGATATTCTTGTCCACCACTGGGAAAGCGGCTCCCACACCTGAAAACGGTGACATTACTTACGGATGACACTTATGCATGACAAAAGTATGATGGGTACTACATTCTACACGTTAAAAAGTACGATGGGAATGACGTCCTTGTACCGCGACTCATGGTGACCTGGTCTCGACACCCTCAATTATGATGGTCCAAACCGTCTAAGAAGATGACGGGTGGCGCACCCACAACCCTACACTGAAAGTCATGATTGGCTTCCAACATTCCAAAACATCGTACAAAATGTTGGGCCCTCATCCGCAAGCTCGGACAATGAAAGATAAGTTGCAAGCCACAACATACTTGTGACATTTGGGGTGGAACATAGATGCTTACCTGCAAGCCAACCTTGGTAGACAGATGTTAGCTTATACCTACATATATATATATATATATATATATATATGTATATATGTGTATATACATGTTGATATATGTGTATAGGTTTGATATATACATGCAGACATACATACACACCTACATATGGATGTGTATGTGTACATACCCACATGCTCATGCCTTTCCAAAGCTTATAAACACATACATATATGTATACTATATATACATACATGGGTACATACATATATATATATATATGTATCACGGAAACATGTGCATCGTTTCCGGAATATACATGCAAACATATGTATATGCAACGTGTAGGCATTTAGGCAGCTACAAGCTCAAACAAGAAAATGGACGGCCTCAGGCTCCTATCCCAAATCCCGCAGCGGCATGGTGGGTGAAGGATGGCGAATATCAAGTCTGTGCGTAAGCACGGCCTCCTTACCTGTACATATATACAGCTACATACACAAATATACGTTTAGACAGAAACACACGATGCACTGTGGAAGCTCATGCATACCTATACCATACGTATGCAAGTTCGTGCACTTTGGAAGCCCATGCATACATACACACAGATATGTGTGTATAAATACATGTCTTTATATATATATATATATATATATATATATGTCGAAGAATTTTATGTGATGTACATGCGAGTACCTGTGTATGTAACCGGGGAGCCTAATGCAGTTACACTTTCAATCTAAACTGGAGCCTTGGAAGGGTATCATGGGCGGATGAGTTTAAATATATACATACATACATACACACACGACTTTCCGTGCATCACGGAGATAGGTAATTTAATCGTAATTGGGTGAATGATCGCGAACAAGAGGTCTTAAATAGAACGACTGAAAAACATGCCCAATTACACCGAAAGCCAATCCCTAAAAGGTGTGGCTCCCTGCCAGAACTGCAAATCAAAATAGGGACACCGGAAAAAAGAAGGCCAGAGTCTGAAAATTTTGGCACATGTCACGGGCGACATTTATCCAATAAAGATATATGGTGACTAGCAAACCCAAGTACCCAAAAGGATGATGTGTGTCCAGAGCATCCAAACTCTACTGGAAGATATTTGGCGGAAACCGAGGCCAGACAAGGATGTGATGGGCCAATGCCCCTGAGGAGTTCGACGAGTGGCGGAACCACAACTGGATCCTCAAATCGGTCACTGTTTTCCCAAATACACGCAGCTTAGGAGATGTTGCACTTTCAATCAAATGCTTCAATGAACTGAAGAAATGACGGGTGGCAAACCCAAAAACTCTTTCAAAGGTGGAAAGCCCCTTAAAGCTTGACACCTGTCGGAATATAGATATCCCGTTCCCCACGACTTCAGATGCGGTATGCTGCAGCCTATGCCACAATTTCATTCCCCAGTGCAAGACATGATATATGGAAGAAGTTGCAAGTCAACATTAGTATGCACATACAAATATGGGCCTGTAATGGGTCCTACTCTCTTTAGATATATGTATGTATCGTATGATTTAACATGCTCGTACAGAGTTAGAATCAGAAAATGCGGATGTATAGTTGCATCCATGCAGGAGCACACATGTACTCCTATGCGACATGTCAGTCTGCATATACACATTGACATATTGACATAATTACATACCTATATTCATACACACATATGTATGGGCTAGGTCTGCATGTAGATAATATCAGCAACAAATGTTCTTATAACCGTTTATCCTGATCTTGATATGCGGCGTGTTAGGGGCGGATGGTAGAGATGAAGAATTGCGTGCATGTCCTTTTCGGTCCTGAGTTTAGTGGAGCTAGACAGCTTTCGCAGCAGTAAAACCATCTATTAAAACTCGAGAAAAAACACGGGATTCCTCGAAAATGCACGCCGCCACGGCGTACCAGTCTCTTTTGTAAACCCTGGTTTAAACGGATCCCTTATAGTAAACCCTATGTTAGACGTATCCCCTGTAGTAAACCCTAGTTTAGACGGCTCTTTCTCAGAGTCCGACCACGGCCTAAACCCGATGGCTTCGGAGCTTCGGCCAAGCATCGGCAGAGGGCATTTGGGATTTCCTTCCCCGGGGTTTAGGGTTTGGGGTTTATAGGGTTTAGGGGCTTTTAGGGCTTAGGGTTTATAAGGTTTAGGGGTTATAGGGTTTAAGGGTTTATAGGGTTTATAGGGTTTAGTTTAGAGTTTAGGAATCTGCGGCCAAGCATCGACAGACGACATTTGGGATTGGTGGCTCCTCATCCGTGACCGGTTTGATGTCGAAGGCCTGCCCGGGCAACCGAACAGCATCTCTGTTCGAGACGCTTCTGGGGCTACCTTAACCGGGAAGAACCTACGTTTATAATTATACGGGAATCATAAAAAAGAATCCTAAAAAGGTAGGTTATTCAGGGTTAAGGTAGACCCTATGAACCGAAGAACGATCCAGTAGGGCTCCGTGATCCCATTTTCGATCCGCTATCCCCTAAGGCACAAGCCCGAAACCGCTTCTCAGGCCTGTACCAGGTTTTATGTTGCTGAGCCTTTCAACAATAAACTAAGCCTGAGCCTATGCCCAGACCTTCCAATATCCCTTCATTGAGGAATATACCATAAAGTATACACTTCCTTAAAGCTCGGGGGATACTGGAAGATGTGGGTACCACAGACACGAAACCGATCCCTAGAACCCTTATGTAGATCCCCTAAGGGAACCTTTAGGGTAGGTGGGCGTCTATAGAGTGTCTACATAGCAAAGACTCGATGCTTCCCCCAAAGGCTCCTAAGTAGCTACATGGCAGACAGTAGGAGTCTTATAGTAGGAATCATGATCATGTTTTGGGCAAGTACCCCCCATGCAGCACCCGTATACCCTAAATTCTTACGGAACCCTCATAGAACCCTTTAAGGAACCCTGTAAAGGTAGTACTTCGGATCCTTTGTGCTCTGGCCTCCCAGTTCGAGCCTGACTGAAGGATCCCCCATGCGAGGAGGCGCGGACGCAGCGGCCCAGCATCGGTTCCATGAAGCGTTGGGCCTACTTGTCAAATATCCTGGGGAACTAAAGGTTAAATTTTTTGAGGATATACATACAAATATATACGTATATATACATATATACATATACAGGGATTATGTATGGACTATAGTACCCCAGAACGGTTGAAGGTTACTTACGTACTCTACTTGTAGGTGGGAATCTGTAAGGGTGCTATCCTGACTGTTAAAGGGCTCCTTTAAGGGATCCACCAGGTATACCATACGGATTCCAAAATCAGAACCAGGGGGCCTGAAAACGTAACTATGGATTCGGGCATTCCGGGTCGATATGCCACAAATGTTGGGTGTTCGGGAACCGCAGCAGCTAAATACTCTGCTCTCAGATACCTATACCTGATTGTTTGAGCTGGCGGTTCAGGCGGGTTCTTCGGATGGAGGGACTTTGTAAGCTGCACCGAAAACCCTAAACCCTAAACCCTGAAACCTCAACCGTGAGTTGCACCTAACGTGAAGAGTCCAGGGGAGTAGTTGAGGGGCTCAGACTGCCTCAAGGTTCAGATGTAAAGCAGCCTTTGACCTTTTTTGGGTAGTATAGTATCCCTATATACCCAAAAAGGTTAACCTTTAGTTCCCCATGGTAGGCTGCTAGCAGCCCGAGGTACACCAAGGCAGGCACCCATAAACCTTCTTATTCTAACTACCCATCCTAAACCCTAAACCCTAATCCCTGAACCCTAAACCCTCAACCCTAAACCCTACCCCCTAAACCTAAACTCTAAACCCTAAACCCTAAACCCTAATCCCTAAATCCTAAGCCGAAGGGTTGAGAGAGAACAAAACCCCGTAACCTTCAGGCCCTAAAGCTGTGAAGTCGTAAACCCTTAATCCTAATCCTACTTGTCGGGTATCATGGGGAACGAAAGGTTAACCTTTTCGGGAATATAGGGATTATATAGGGACTATACTACCGAAAAAGGTTAAAGGTTACCTCCTCTACTACTAGGTAATACGCTCTCAGAAGACCGAAACCATTAACCCTCAGCCGCTACGACATAATCACAGTCTCAAGCCTAAACGCCCTAAACCCAAAACCCCATCAGAATTTCAAAAGGGGCCTGAATAATTACCAATACTATCTTGAAATGGGGTTCCTTCTTATAATGATGGTATACTATACTCCAAAACCCTATTCTAACTGTCAAGGGCCCCTATTTTGTAGAACCCCTATAGTCGCCCTTATAGAACCCGTTAAGGAAGCCCTTTAAAGGAACCCTCTTCTAATTACTAAGCCTGAGCAGACTTCGAGTTGCAGTGCATCTCCCACCGTTGGTTGAAATCCTTAATTTGATTTACTTATGATCTTCCTCAAAAAAGGGAGGCTATTTGTGGTCCAGGTAGGGTTTAGGGTTTTAGGTTTTAGGATTTCGGTTCCCGGTCGCCCAGTTCTTTGTCTTGCGGGCGGACCGAGACCAGCTCGTCGATGCAAACTTCTTGGAAACAATTGTGCATGCATTGCTGCCACAGAGGACCCAGGCTAAAAGTGCTACTGCTCTGAGGGGACTGCCTATACCGATCAATTTCTGCTCTCCACCGTGATTTAGCCATGGTCGGCAGAATTCTGGGTTGGCAGATCGTTCGATTAGGCTTCTGCGCCTTGTAACTCAACAGCGCAGTGGGAACTAATTCTCTGGCTCAGACGCCTGCTTGCTGACGCCGGGACTCTCATGTCCCGTCTCACAGAAACTGACTGCCCCTTAGTTGCCGAGTTCGTAAGCAGAAAGCAGCAACCTTTCACTTGTAGGGGAATCCGAAGCTTACTAACCCTAAACCCCAAGTCCTAAACCCTACGCCGTACTATCTTCAGCTACCAAGGCTCCACTATAGAGCATGACGTGTGGCTGAAGACCTGAGGCGAGCATAGCGCAGAAGAGCTGGAAAGCCCTTTTCGGCTGCCCGCCCTCCTCACAAGAGACGATGGCTGCTCCATAGCTGATAACATCCGGAGCAAGCTGGGCCTTGCTGCCCGAACTCCGACGTCAGAGCGAGGTTGAATCTTCGGTTTTAGGAGGGGGTTATAACATCACAAGAAGTCTAAACAGGTCACTAAATCGGCCATGAAGGGACTCGAGGCAATGCATCGAAAAGCTCAAGTGCGAGCTGCCACTGAGCTCCTTTCTCGCAGGAGCTAATCGCTGCAGAATAGCTGATCAGATCCGGCACCAATCCTGTCTTCCCCAAGTTAGCCCTCCATAATTCTTTCACTTCTTCAATAGCTAGGCCCGAGGGACCCCAAAATGCCCAAGCCTTCAAACAAGCTCTATATCGCTTTCTACAAAAAATGGAGAAGTAGATAAAAATTCTAAACTCGCTCCCCGCCGGTTCGGCAAGAATCTGGCTTCGGGAAGCGAACTCAAGAGCAGCAGGGCCGGCTGCCACTGCCCACCTTTCTCGCAGCTGCTGATGGTGGCATTGTAGCAGATCCTTGGTAGGGCTTTGGGGTGCCAGGCTTTCAGGGTTTAGGGTTCATTTAAAAGGGGTCTATAGGGGCTACTATAAGGGGTCTATTCTATAAGATATGGGCCTTAATGATCAGAATAGGGTTCGGGGGTATTTTTTTACGATAGTTACTGTAAGGAACCACCAAAATAGTATTGGTAGCTATTGAGGCTCCTATACTAGGGCTTGAGGATTAGGGCTGGCCCGGTAATCCAATCGAAATCTAGTAGCGAATACTTTGCAGCTCAACAATGCAAACCCCGATTAACAAAACTCTTCTATAAAGGGATTCCTACAGTACCCGAGACAACAGAAACAGAAACGATCCCAATGGTGTACCAAGGGTCACGTTTGGGCGAAGCTTCTCCTCAGATAACGATGCGAAGAGCTGCAAAGCCAGCTGCCAGCACATGCCCTTCTCCTTGCATGTCCGGTTTCGGGCTTAAGGCTTGCAATTCTATTGCTAACTGAAGGTTAGCTTTTGGAGCACTGAACGGGTTATAGAACCGCACACCAATCAAACGTTACTTACATTAGTACTAAGTCTCACAGGAGCTGATGGCCGCACTGTAGCCTGAGTTCTCGAGCTGAAAAACCCAAAGAGTTCTACATGTGGGTGGTTGTCAAAATTAGGGTCCCTTTTTGGGTCCTTATTATAATACGGCGCCTAATATTTAAGGTACACAAAAAGGGACCCTAATTGTGACAACCACCCATGTACTGTAGTACCTCAGCCACTGAGTAGCTGATCACATCGGGGGATAGCTCCGACAGGCGCATGCTGTCGAAGAGTCGCAAAGCCAACTGCCAGTTTCCTGACTTTTCGCCTCAGCCCACCGGAAATTCAGATATTGCTAAATAGGTGTAGATATTATGACACAGTATCATACCTTGAGACATCAAAGGCTCTGAACAAGCTCGACCATGCCCAAAGTGACACCTAGTGACAAGAGCTGATTGTCGCGCTGTAACTCACCACATCCTAGGCTTTGAAGTAACCAGGGAGAAAGAAGTATAGGCTTTCAATTCATAATGGTTCCCTTTCAGTAAGAGGTCCCCAAAAAGGATTAAAGTATTGTACTCCAAAGCCCAGTATCGGGACTCAGCTCTGCCTGCAACAAGCTGTGGAAGAGGGCCACAGACAGCTGCCAGGCTCCCACCTGGAGAGTTATATCACTTGGAGGTTCATGGGTAGTTATACGTGGGGTTGTAAGTCCCCTAAAAAGGGTTATAAGTATAGTCACCTTACTTAGAACTCCACTTATAACTACCCATGAACTACATATATACATAAAAAGGTCGGTATAAAGATAAATCGATAGGTAGGTAGCTAGATAGACAGATATGTGTAGATACATATGTATATATATATATATATGTATATGTATATATATATATATATATATATATATATATAGAAAATAGATATATGTACAAATACATCAAAATGTATTCATAGCTATACAGATATACAGGTATAAGCCGATGCTGATGTATGGATCAGCCAGTGGCTACTATAAAGGGGTCTACAAAGGTTCGATATGACCTCTATAAACAATGCTGGGCATATGGGATGGGGTCTTTAGGGTCCAGGTTTGATGATCTACTAGCCCACCACAATTTACATAAAAACCCACGGAACCATCGGCACCTAGACTGCAAACGTACAATAATCTTAAAACACCTTGCATTTACAGACATGCCACATCCAATACAGGGGCCTTCGTAGTTTGAATGGGGTTCCGTTCATGGATATGTTAGATGCCATCTTCCCCTGAGTTTCGGCGGATTGTTCCCCGCCTTTCCGCAAGCGCTGAGGGCTGCTCCGTAGCTGATGATGTTGGGAGCCAGTTTGGCAGTCGGAATGGAGTGGAATAAAGCCTCTGTGGTTGGGGAATCGTGTTTCGGCTGAGTAATGACTCTTGCAAAGGTTCTCTGGGGTTCAAGGGCCGGAACAAATGGAGGTCGCTTGCTGTCCATAGGAAGAAACCCCTGTTGTGCGTGTAGATTCAGTTTCAGAGTGCAAGTTCATAAAACTCTCCGAGCCCCACGCCGGGAAGCCTGAATTCGAGGTACTCTTGGGCCTCATCCTAACCTAGACCTTCCGATGTACCCTAAGTAAGAGACCCTTTGTAAATCATGCTAAGGGTCTTTGCTTGGAAGATCCGAGTCAGCCGAAATCACCGTCAATCCCTGTCACTAAAACTTTCCTCCCCCGTTGACCACTGTAAAGCTGGAAGTCGAATGCTAAGTCGTTAAGACTCAGAGGCCCAGCGGTTTCAGGGTTTAGGGTTTTAGCCAGTTTAGGGCTTAGGGTTAGGGTTTCAGGGTTTAGGCTTCGGGGTTCCGCCGTCTGGCATCGATAGACACCCAAGACTCGAAGTGTCTAGCCCGACGAAAAGAGAAGAGTCGTGGATGAAGAATGTAATTAAATGTCTAGAAGCCCCCTCCCTGCCTTCTGCCTTTACGACTTCCTGGATTCCAGAGACCTGACTAGCATCACTTAAATTTTAAAGGGGCTTATCTAATTTTTAATTTATAGTCCAAATCTGAAGGATATTGCGCTCTCTGGAAGGCTGGAAGCCCTCAAACCTCTAACTCTAACGCCTGCCATGTTTTGGCCTCATGGTCTGGCCCGCATCATTGACCTGCCAATCCCTGAGCATGCCAAAACTAAGCAGAGTATGTACTTTACTTGATTGAATACGGTGGTTTAGGGTTTTGGGTTCAGGTTGCAAGTTCGGGTTCATGTGTTTGAGGTTTGGCCCTAAACCGTAAGCACCCAACCCCAAACCGAGAATCCTGACGAGGGCCATAGCCATAACAGACACATGACCCTATTTCAACACCGTGATATCAGTCAATGATCCCCAAACCCTAAACCCTACCTGATAGAATGCTTGTAAAGCTAAAGCCCAAATTTTGGGGCTTCAAGTCCCCCGAGGCATATCATGCGAAATGAAACCTAGAATCATAACAGAATGCTTGAATAAAGTAACCTTAAACCCTATCGGTCATGTGAACTATGGAGCCCCAAATCCTATACCCAAGGCCCTAAACTCCAGGTATGACACAACGTTCCAGCATTCAAGGACCACAACGGAGACCCTAGAGGAACCGTTTCAAGGACTTCTAGGGTCTATCCCTCTAAGGAAGACTTCTAGGGCGTGTTTTCAGATCTTCCTTCAAAGGTTCCTTTCACTCCTAAACCCGCAACCTCTCGAACCCTAAGCCCTTAACCTCCCAAACCCCAAACCCTAAACAAAGCCGCGAAAGCAGCCCTCCACTCGTGAAGTCCGGAAGCCAAGGCTTGCTGCCACCACCTCCCAAAACGGCGTTCTGCTACGGTTTCGCTGCGGAGTTTATATAGTGACATGGGAGTTTCCGAAAATAGGGGACCCTAATAAGCTTTTAGGGTTTAGGGTTTAGGGGTCTAGGTTTGAGGGGTTTAGGATTTAGTGGTTCAGGGTTTAGGGGACCCTGATGTAGTACCCTAAGTAGTAGGACCGCCAGATAAGGTACCCCTAATTTTGGGAAACTCCCATATAGCTCGTGAAAATTGGGTGGGGTTTGGGATTAGGGTCTTGGGTGGGAATTTTTGAAAGGTCTGGGGTTCGGAGTTGAAGGTTTGGGGTGTAGAATTCGGGGCTGAGGGTTTAGGCCTAAAGCCCTAAAGCCTTAAATCCCTAAGCCCTAAAAGCCTAAACCCTAAACCCTAACCCTTAGGCCCTTTGGGATCATGTCCTTTGCCGAACCTGTCCCAAAACTTCTGCCGCCCCTGATAATACACGCAGTGTCGCAGTCTGAACCCCGAAATCCTGCGGGTAGTTGTCAAAATTAGGATCCCCTTTTCGGCTTAGGGTTTAGGGTTTTAGGGTTTAGGGTTTAGGGTTCAGGGTTTTAGGGTTTAGGGTTTTGGGTGCCCCAAGTAATAGTTGCCGTATTGTAACAACGAGCCCAAAAGGGACCCTAAATCTGACAACCACCCATGTATAAAAAGAAGCTCTCTGTATGATGACCCACTAATGGAGATTCACAGTTATCCCAGATCGGCACATATCATCAAATTTAGAAAGGAGGCTATGAAACCACAGAGATCTGTCCAATCAGCACCAGCTGCAGGCGTGAGCGTTAAGTTAAGGTTTGCTAAGAGCTTTGGGTTCATAAGGGTTAAGACGAGAGATTTTGGGCACCAGACGAATGCTCCTTAACATTTAAGAAGGGTCTCCGCCAGGTTTCATACTGAAGTAAAGCACGCGTTCTTGAAGTTCAAGGCAAGCTCCACGCAGGGTTATGCAAATCTGACTTGGGGATGTAACTCACTGAGCTTGTAGCATCTTACTCAACTCCCCGGTTGTGACATCAGCATAGCAAGGCATCCGACCCTTCCCCAACCCCACAGAGTAGACCCGAATCTCAAAACAATGAACTCCTCAGGGCCGCAATAGTCAGAACGGGGTTTGGGGTTGTGTTATACTTCAACTTGTAATATATGCGGTGCTGTAAAGAGTACTATCAGTATACGTACTTATTCAAGCGGAGATAGGCCCTCCCTGGACAACCCTTTGGGGCCTAACGCTCGTGCAAGCGCTGATGCCCAAGGAATAGTGGGAAAGCTCCAGCTTCATCGTGGATGACTCCTGAGATTACAATTTTTTGCTGTGAAGCCGAAAACGTAAACCCTCCCAGACCTTCCAAAATCCCTTAATTAAGGAACATACCCTAATGCAAATTAAGGATCCTACTACGGCTTAAGGTATACAGTAGCCCCATAACGTTGGAAAAACCGGATTAAGGCCAAATAGTGCTGGGATTCCCTTTACATTCTTCTAAAGGATGGAGGCTCTGGGGTTTCCAACTTTTCGGCTTCTACCGTATTCCTTAACTAAGGGATTTTGGAAGATCTGGGCTGAGCCCTAAACCTTCAGGGTTCAGAGCTCTGAACCCTGAACCTTCAACCTAAGGGTCCAACGGTTGATGATATAAATCCTGCATGACCTATTATAAGGAATATACCATAATTCCCATAGTTTAGGGTCCTTAAGGTCATGCAGGATTTATACCATCAACAGAAGTAGTCCTGTGGCTTTTGGTCCCTAAAGCGGCCCAAAGTCCTACAATTTTGAATACTAAGACCCTTATAGGGTCAGGGTTCAGAGCAAGGGGCCCTGTACGTCGAGTTTTCTACACACCCAGTCACTCCAATGCTCCTTTTCACACAGGCCCTGGCAAACGCCGAAATATTTGACTAGGATGCCTAGTAACCTAGGAATAAAAAGGGTTCCCGTTTTTGGTATTGGGTAACTTAATAAGGAACCTAAGACTACAAAAAGGGAATAAGGGAACTACTGGGCATCCTGGTTGACCTCAGCCGTGTCTCCAGGGTCCGAATCACCTCAACGACGAGATCTGCACGCCGCCTCCGTTTCCTGGGTTTGTAAAAGGGAAGCGAGGGTAACTGAAGTTAACGTTTACCGTAGGTGTGCGCCAACTTATCTGCATTCTCTCTTGCGCATGTTTCGTTTTTGCCGTGTCAGTTGCATTATGAAACCTATGAGCTTCTTCCGATCTTCACCGAAATGTAGCTACTCACGGCTGAATGGCCTAGCACCACTTGATTTTGGTTGAAAAACTCCAAACATCAAATGCTGCTACAAAAGAGGTCTGAACAAATACAAATGCTATTCAATTACCATTCTTTAGGATCTTACCTATAGTCTCCATTGTAGTTCTTTTTTGGGGGTTACCTTTGAGGATCCTTAATATAAAATTTGTTAAACCAAAAAAAGGAACTACAATGGAGACTATAGGTAGGGCTCCTTCTCACAGCTACAAGGCCCCTGCCTTACCCCGACAACTAAGTCCAGCAAGAACCCGAAAGGGCCTAAGCCTTAAAAAATACGTTCTGTTAAGCCCCCTAAACCCCTAACCCCTAAACCTCAAAACCCTAAACTGTAAACAACCCCTAAAACCCTAGAACCCTGAGCTGTAAACCACCCCCCCAAAATCCTAGAGCCCCAAACCTAACGACGGGCTGCAGAGTATGGAGCACCTGCGCCACCTCAGACGACTTCCAGGCAGGCCTGGGTTCGCTGGGAGGCTTTGAAGCTTACGGTTCAAGGTTTGGGGGTTCAGGGTTGAAGCTTTAGGGTTTAGGGTTTGGGGTTTAGGTTTTTGATTTTAAAGTGGTATTGGGTCTTTTCACTCCGGGGCTCAAGGGTTTAGGGTTTGGGCTCACAGCTGAAGGTTGACGGTTTGGGGTTTCGGTTGCGGCTACGTCAGGGGCGCTCGATGGTGTGTGAAACTACCCATAGGCCCCATAGTAGTTCCTTCGCGGGGTTCGCATATAGAATCCTATAGGGTAATCCCAAAACGGAACTACTACGGCTGATTGACAAAATCCTGCATGACCTTAAGGACCCTAAACTATGGGAATTATTGTACATTCCCTATATTGGGTCATGCAGGATATTGTCCAGTCACAGTATGGGGCCTCTGGGTAGGGTTCATGGTTCTACTTTCTCTACAAGCACACATCCCAGCGGGGCCTTCGGACCGACGGGACCGTTACCTTCAATTGAGCCCGAGCAAAATCGACATGGGAGTTTAGGGTTTAGGGTTTAGGGCCTTCTTCGACCGAACACCTACCAGCTGATGTTCGTGATTCTTGGTTCGGGGAAGCCATCACCGAATGTGTGCTCCAGGCGGATGCAAACAGCTTGTGGGCTTTCTGTGATTCATCTGGCAAGTGTGGGAAGAGGCAGTCGGCTTTTGGTGGATTTTCTGTGAGGCGGCGTATGTCATAAAAGCAGAGGCACAAGTGTAACGCTGCATGCGGGTTTCTGTGCCAGAAGGAAGAATGGGCTCTCTGTTGGCACCCTAAATACCCACTACCCTACACCCTATATAGGCATCGAGAAGCTTCTTCTGCGCCAAGAGCGCCTTCACCTTCTCAGGTTGCACGGGCTGCCCCAACAGCC